TGTTGTTGTTGTTGTTGTTGCTGCTGTTGTTGTTGTTGTTGAGTTTGCGATGGGCTTGTAGATCGTATAGGTAATGGCCCCGGTGGTGGTTTTGTAGTAACAACAGACTCTTCTTGAGCTGTTTGATGCTGCTGGTGCGAACTTGGATGCTGTGGCTGAATTTGATGCTGTGGTTGAGATACATTATGCGGTTGATGATGTTGCTGAGAAATTTGTGATGTTGGATGAGTATCCTGGTTATGATGCTGCTGCTGTTGTTTACGAGGAATGGATGATGTTTCCTGATTAGTTGAATCAGTTAATTTAAAATCTGTCGAAAACTGTCTTAGTTCTGAGTGCTGTTCTTCTCGACTTCTTGGCGTTGGGATCTAAAATTGCATAAATAAATAATCCTCAATCTCCAATTAGTTTAAGAATCTTGAGAAAATTATTTAACGACAAACCTTTCTATGATCTGGTTTATGAGGAATTATTTCAATGCGTTGAATATCTGTTGAATTTTGTTGGTGTCCTGCTGACTGTTGTTGTTGATGAGAAGATGAACTAACATTTGGCTGTGAAAAGGGAGCAGGTGGAGCTTTATCCGCTTGAAACACCTGTTGTCTGCCTGGACGTTCACGCTTTTCTGTATTTATTTTATTCGAAGGCTGTTGTTGCTGTTGCGGTTGTTGTTGTTGGGGCTGTTGTTGTTGCTGCTGCTGCTGTTGTTGTTGTTGTTGTTGTTGCTGCGATGGTTGTTGGGGCTGTTGAGGGTAAGTTGCTTGGGGAATTGCAGGAGTAGTCTGAGATTGCGACGAAGTTTGCTGCATTGCTAAATCCAAAAAATATTTTTTATAATAGTCTATCTTACTACAGAGAATTGAAAATTTAATGTTTTTTGTGTTCCTCTCTTTCTTATTATATCATATTAAACGATTTAATCACAAATACGAGATAACACGATAAAAGACTGAAACAATACAAATAGTGTACCTGCAGAAGATGCTTGCGTCGTTGGAGACACAAATGGTGGCGGAGTGTTGTAAGTAGTATGTACAACTACTCCAGTTGGTGGCATTGCCATGTTAAGAGGTACTGGATGTTGCACTGAGCTATGGGAGGCTTGAAGGCCAACTGAGATGTTAGGCGATACATTAACATTTGACGATGGTGCTTGATTAAATGAAGATTTGCTAGTTGCAGATCCTGGTGACGAGGGTGGTGGTGTAGATCTTATTAGTTTCCCTGTATCCCAATTTTTCTTTTTCAGAGGAGGTGGAACATATTTACCTTCATTGGGCCTTATCTAGCAACATTATAAATGTATGATAAATTTTCAGTTTCATATAACATGAAATTTCATATAAATATAATAATATTTACAACAGATGCAAATCTTTCCTCTTCATCGCCATTCTCTAGTTCTAATCTTGCCTTATGATTTGGCTGAGATTCTATTTCATTAGCTATTTCAGCTGCTTTCTGCTCCTGCTCTTTATAGTCTTTTGTATCTTTACGCTGAAGCTGGAAAGTATAACCAACTAACGATGGCTCAAATGTCGTTTGAACACCATATTTTTGTTCATTCTTGCGGAACATTTCGTTTACGTCCCACCCATTCTAGAAATATGTAATTTGATGTAACTTGACAAATAATATGATAAATTTATTATTTTCAATGTAAAATCAATTAAAAAAAACTCACAGCAGCACCATCTAATTCTAAGTCGTCGCCATTCATAGTAGACGGTGCATCCCATGGCTCAAGTTCTTTCTCTCCAACTATACCATTAAATTTACTAATAGCAGTGTCTGTTTGAAAAGTGTCTCTTAGAGCATACTCTAGATCAACATTTTTAGCAGATATTGTTATTATATCGTGTGGCTTAAAAATCAATTTTTCAACCAAACTGTCAACATTGATCTTTCCTGAACTGTCTACTCGATGTGCCATCTCTAAGACGACATCAAAATTATAGGAGAAAGTTCTAAAAATTCCTTCATATACCGAACCATTTTGTGTCTGAATCTACAACAGTATTTAAAATATATTAATTTGATAAAAAAGAATATGCATCGAAACATTCCACGTGTGTCAACTGTTTGAATAAAATGTATTTAGGTTTATACTCTTTTTTTATGGCAAAAATAAATAGAAGAAATAAATTAAATACCTGTACTACATTACCAACATGGCAAGTGATAGCATGCATAAAATGAGCATTGCTGTAAACACCTTCAGCTGCCACATATCTATCTTGTGGTCCTCTTGCTCTTGGTGACCTAACATTAAATATTGTTTTATTAAGAAACTTTAGACACTATAACTTTACAGAATATCCAGTTTGTACAAATATGCATAATACATTTCTAATGTTTTTGTTTATATTTTTATGTTTGTATTAAGAAACCATGGGAAGAAAGAGAGAAAGAAAGAAAGAAAGAAAGGAAAAAAGGAAGAAAGAAAAAATAGTAATTATAAACAATACCTAGTAGGATTGGAACGAATTTTTCTCTTGCTATTCATTTTTGTTATCCGTTGAGGTTTTCTCGTCGGTGGTTGATGAATTTCTGGCGCCGATTATATGAGATCCTTCTTTTCCGATATATACACGTATATACACGTATATACACGTGTATGTATATATATATAGGGAATCGGAATTTTCACTAATTACCCAATAATATTTTAACGTCAAAAGAAATTTTGTCTGTAGTTTCTCATTAAACAGAAAAAAGAAAAAGAGAGAGAGAGAGAAAGCAAGAAAGGATTGCGGAAAGGGAGAAAGCGGGAAAGATGAGAAGAGAAAACAAATAAGAGAGAAAGAGATAAAAGAAAAAGAAAAATAAAAGGGAAAAATAAAGATAGAGAGAAATAATATTGGAAAAGAAGAAAACGTGGCGTCGGTTAATGTTGGATGATTAGGAGCTTCCAATATTTTTCTTAATATACGTCTTTCTAGAATTTCTCGAGATTCTTTAAGAGTGGAATTTACGAAAGGCCGTCCTGGCCGAGACAACTACTAGTGCATTCGTAATAGGCTTCCTTTTAGGTTATGCTGAAAGTCTTGCTATCGCACATTCGGTTCGTTAAAAAGGAACGCGTGCGCGCACGATAGCGTTGTTGCTTGACAGATGCAAGCACGCGAGGAAAGGAAAAAGAATAAACTTGGGACTACGAAGATTGGTGTACACGGGGGAGACACGCGCGACCTGCTGGACACACGATATTTTTCTTGATTCTAAGTGACGTAACTAGCTTCCGCATGGAATGAATCGTTCGACACGAGTCTACAGTCTAACAACGTTGCGAGAGAGAGAAAGAAAGAGAGAGAGAGAGAGAGAGAGAGAGAGAGA